TATCCCTTGAACCCAGCTATCCAGCATGGAACCGGTAACTAATTCAGCACTCAATAAGTCAAAGGGAGAAAATAATCCAATAAACCAACCCAATAAACAAACAAATCCAATAAACACCCAAGAACCCATCTGCTGAAATCCAACATACCTTAATTTCACACACACACACACACACACACACACACACACACACACACACACGTCTACTGAGAACTGGTATTACATAAGAATTCAAGAATCCACTGTAGCTCTTTAAAATCTCAAAGCAAAAATCACTGTCATGCTGACACAATAAAGCCATTCAAATTAACGTCTGACCATGCCTGTGTTCACTGTATTTTTTAACCTATTGTTTTGGGAACACCAGCCAACATAATTAGGTAAGAGATGACTTGACGAGAGTATAATTATCTGTCTGGAAATACCAAATAATCAGCTAAAATAAATTTGTTGGAATTGGTGGAATTCAGAGCATCCCATGGTCTTCAAATTAATATGCAAAATCAGCAGTTTTCCTATAATTGAAAAATAAACATTTGCAAAATAGAGCAGAAGGAGCAAAGCCGTTTGAATGACCATGACACTCGAAGAGAAGGGATAAATTTCCTAAGACACTGCAGGACCTGGACGAGGAGAATATTTTATCCTGTTGAGAGACGTAAGTGCTACTGAGGGACACTTTCCGTGGGTAAATGAGATAACATATCTTATCCTCGGAAGCGTCGACTCGATTGTGGAAGGGGATAAATCACCCCAGATGAGGCGATGCAGCCCATGAATTATTAAGTAGGACACCAACAGGATGCCTTGGACTCCCACCAAATGGCACTAAATCACATGGGAACACCAGAGTCTGAGAGGGTCGGGAGCATTGCGGAAGAGAAGAGTGTTGAAGGCTATCATCCTTCCCGGGTATAAAAATTCCAGAAACACCGCGCACTCTGCACTGGAGCACCAGGGCCCAGAACCGCTGGGTACAGGCAGGAGCTGGAGGGGACTGCCATGCCTCTGGCTAGTGCTTTCCATGTCCACAGGGTGAGCCTGCTGAGGCAGAGGGCAGCGCTGAGGTGACAAGCCACAGCCGGGGAGAGAAAGTCACAGAGCAGAGTGTGCTGTGCCACTGGGCAGGGGAACAGCCGGAGTGCCGGGTTGGGGAAGGAGAGATGAGAAAACCACAACAATAATTAAATCTCTGCTGCAGGGGTAGCTCACAGCAAGGAGAGCAAAGGAGTCCGGGAAAAGCAACGTGGTATTTTGGAAACAAAGATGTCCATTTTATACAGGTGATCCACACCACTAAAAAGAAAAGACAAAAAGGTTGGTTGAGCAGAATCCCAGAAGTGTCCTGACAGATCAATACACCAATGGATGGATAGAAATAGCTTAATAAAAATCACATCACACTACACTTGCTATTTATCAAAAATGCATTCGATTGGGTTCTAAGGAACTGCTGAATTTCAGGTAAGTTCTTTATTGCTTCTTTACTCTGAGAAAACAAATTGATTTCTGAAAGACCTCTGGAAATTAAGAGAAAAATGATGATGATAAGCAATTAATAAGTACGATCACCACACCTCGTTTCCCTCCTCATGGCTCCTGTCCAGTGGCTGCTGTGAAAGGTGGTGAAAGGGGCGTCTGCTGGCCTCCACCCCGGCTCTACCCCAGGTTTTAGTGACACCCCAGGTTTTAGCACCACTGTCTGTAAGTTTTATAGCATCGGTGATCTGTTGGGTCACAATAATCCCCAGAAGGACTTCGTCCTGACCCCTTTTTGGCACAAGCTCCGTTTGCCGAAGGGTGACACCCTTTGCCTGAGCCGCCTGTGTGGACCCCCTGTTTGGGCAGCCAGGGTCTCCAGGAGAGCTCCTGGAGGCGGGAGCTCCCGAATCCCTTCAGTCAGGAATCTCCGTATGTGGCCTTTATTTTGGAGGGTAATATGAGTTCGTGAAGAGAACTGGGTGACACTTCTCATTTTCCTTCTCAGTCCTGTAGGCTCCCCACCATGGGCATGTCGGGGGAAGGAGGAAGCCCAGGTGGGAACTTCCTCTGGATAACAGCACTTAGGCCTGGGCACTCATGTGGTTCCCATGTGGCTCTTTGTCATCATGTGAAATGCATCACACACACACACACACACACACACACACACACACTGTATAGTCTATAATAAGACGATTACGACTATTGCCCTTATTTTCTCGATTCTCGAAGCCCAGTGACTCCAGCAGGCTCTCCTATCAATCTCTTACCATCAACTGCTCCTGAAAACAGGGGGCTGCCATCTGCTCTGCAGACTCCAGAGTATTTTTATTTCAGTAAGTTTTAAAAAATGTATCTGAATACTTTTAATATTTTTGCATTTGTTCTTTTCTTTTATTCACACTCACCCCTTTTACTGGTCAGCTTTCCATTTCTGTGACTGAGTACCTGGTAAGAACAAGCTAAAGAGGAAGGACTCATTTTGGTTCACAGTTTCAGTTCATGGTCACTTGACTGCGTGGTTTCTGGGCCTGTGTTGGGACAGATGATCATGGTGGACGGGCGTGGCTGCTCGGCTAGAGGAGTCAGAAAACAGAGAGAAAGACAGAGGGGCTGGGGACAAGATGTCCCTTTCCGGGGCATGCCCCCAGCACCTGCATCCTCCGGCTGCAGCCCCTCCTGCAGTCTCCACCGCCCCCAGTAGTCCACTCAGTTGTGAGCCCACCAGTGGATTAGAGCCCTCATGATCCAACCTCTTCCCAAGGCTCCACCTCTGAGCACTGCTGCCGTGGGGACCAAGCTTCCACCATGAGCCCTGGGGGACATTCCATCCAAACCAGGACACCCCATTTTTCTGTTCTGTCTGGTGTGTTTTGTTTTGTGCACGTCTTCAAGCTGGTCTGCCATGTCCTTGACGGAGCCTTCAGTGATTATTCTTTCACGTCCTCTAGAGGACTTGTAATTAGTTGTGATTACTTCCTCAATTTGGAGGAGTTATGCTTGTAATAAGTGCACAAACACCGCCTAAAGGAAGAGAAATCTTTCTCCACTGCCTAGACTTCCCAACACAGCTCCGACACAGAGGCAAATTCCATGGCATTTTAGGTGAAAATGTGAACCGTGAATTTTGAACCCAATGAAGTTGTTCTTCACATATAAATTCAGCAGAAAGTCATTATGAACCTTGCAATGATCCCTTGTGAAAAGACCTGGTAAGTCAAACTTGAAATGACTGAAGCTAAAGGATCTGATGAAGGGAAGATGTCATGGAATCTGGAAAGGTCGAATTCGCCAAAATGAAGGGCGGAAGAGTGGATACCGGTGGCTAGGCAGGGAATGGGAGGGGAGCAGGGGAGATATTGGCCCAAAGATACAGAATTTCAGTTGAGCAGGAGGAAGAGGTGAGGGGGCCCATTGTACAGTGTGGCCACTCTTGTTAGTAATGATGTATGCACATTTAAAGATTGCTGGGAGAGATGTTTCAAGTGTTCTTTCCATAAAAAATAATAACCATGGGAGGCAATAGATATGCTAATTAGTGTTTAGTATTCCTCAAAGTACACACATTGCATAACACCATGTTCCACACCTTAAACATATAGGGATTTGTATGCATCCATTTAAAATTTTAATTAAAAAAGAAAGGATTAGTGGTAAGCATTGAAATGTAGGATTAAAGGTAACTACAAAACTCTTTATGAAGCATGTGAAAATCAGTTCACAAGACAAGATTATGAAGTGAGACT